CGACTACACACACACACACACACACACACACACACACACACACACACACACCAAAAATTTTTCCCCCGTTTAAAATCCATCAAACCTTCCGTTTATGGAGCCAACAACCCATCTTATAGTTCTCTAGCGCTATACGCCTCTACCATACGTGCGGTGCATGTCTTCAGCTCCTCCACTACCTTTGCACACGCCAGCACGTCAAAAACGACGATCGGCGCTTCCGTTTCCTCCCCTTCGACGTTTTTTTTCACCCTTCTTCTGGCGTTCATCTCAAGCTGTTTTTTCATGGCCGCGCGCTTCTTCTGCGCGCTCGCGTTCTTTTCCTCGTAACACTTCGCCACCGCCATCACCTGCGGCTCGCAGATCATCTCGCGGGAGGGAACGAGGTATCGATACCGCGTATCCTCGATACTTTGCAGCAGCTTGTGGATTTGAACCTCTTCCTGGAGGACGACCTCGCGATCCTTCCGCGCCGCGGGCGTCAACGAATCCACCTCGTCATCACTGAGGGGTTTCAACGTGAGCTGAGGGAGGGCGCTCCGCTTTCGCCGCGTGTGCGATAAGATCGGGGCGTTTCCTAAAGGGCCTTCTCCCCACCCCTTTGCAGCCTCCTCTGCAAAATCCACTTCTTCTTCCTCCTCCTTTTCTTTTTGTTTATTATTTTCCCCCTTTTCCTCTTCTTCAGCTCGCGCCGTGTTGACGGAAAAATGGGCGGCGACAGGTGGGGATTTGCTACGCGCTCTCGCCCGCCCCATCTGCCATCGAGGAGCCACCCACTTCCATAGTTTCAAAAACGCACGCGTGCAGATGTCAGGGCCTGGCTGTGGCGGAATTCTCAACAAATCCGGAATGCGGTGCTCCCGGAAGTCGCGCATCGTCTCGCTGTTGTGGGAGCCAAAGATCGCCTCCTCGCTGGCCACACCGAGCTGAACGAGAAGAATCCCGAGCTTCTCTCGCCGCGCCGCCTCCTCGTCGGAGAGAAACGCCGCATCCGCGTTGCAGCTTAGCGCTCGCATCGGCGGAGTTTCATTCGAATGAGCTTCACTAATGCCGTTTTCCGTCCACAAATATCCCCGCGCGGCGGCGTCGATCGGGCTCGACGCTAGCTCAGGAACGCGCGTGATATTATTTCCCATGCGAACTCCTCCTTCCTCTCCGTCAGGTACTCGGTAATTCCTACGATCACAGTAAACGAAAAGAAAGAAAGTAATGAACTACTTGATGCTGTGTTGCTAGGGGGTTTCTTCTTCCGTTTGTTTCGATCCTTTTAGCTCCCGTTTGCTACAGGAAATAAATAGGTCTAAAATGTGAGAAAAAGAAGGTGTTCCATATAAGCAATTAGCCCCTAAACCTTCAGGGGCCTCCTCCTAAAGAAGAGTTCCCCTCATCATAATCATACGAAGCACAAAATATTTTAAGGAAATGAAGAACCATTGTGGAAAATTATGTCCACATTGGCCTATTACCAACGACGCTTACCCCTAGCTAGTGGATCGTAGGCGTCTTTGGTTTGCCACCTCTGCACCAACCACCGCCTCAATCAAATCCATCGAGATCAATTGATGAAGTGCGAAATACCGCTTTTTAAATGTCGCATCAAAACCAGTCCCCAGTTTGATGCAAGCAATGGACGGCATCCCCAAAGTGGATAATGGCATATTTTAAGATGATATGAACCCCCCCTGGTGCTCTTTAAGCATGCCTTATTCAAATAGATATATATTGTTTATCTATGTGTGTGTATGGGTTTACGCTCCATCGCAACCTAGCTTTATATTCGCACGCCACAGATCAATTTTCTTCTCGTAAAACGAGCATGTGGCCACCGTTGCCGTTACCATGAGGGAATCGTTTATGAAATCTTTTTTTCCACCACTCTCACCCTCCTCTTCTGCAGAGCTGCGGCAGGGTGGGATCTCCAGCCCAAGGACGGCCGTATCGTACACCAAGCACTCCTGCGTTATCGACTCCTGCAGCAGACAACGTGGGTTCGCGCTATGGTCGTGCTCCACATTTCCATATCCGCTTCGCCCGACTGCATCGTCTTCGCCGCCTTCTCCCGTACTCGATGGGGAGGGAAAAAAGTACTGAGGAGGGGCAAACACCTCGTTCTCCGCCTTGGATACGTCGTAGGATAAAAAAGCGGCGCCACGCTGCATAAGCGGTAGAATAAGAATATTTTTCTGAGTGACGCAGGATTGGGTTGCCACCGGGATCCGGGTACGCCCAGCAGACTTCCCGCTCCCACCGTCGAGGTCCATTCTATCCACAACGTGAAAGGGCAAGGTGTTTTGTTCAAAAAGTTCAAAATTACTTCGTGGGGTTCTTCTCGCCGGGGGAAGAGTCGTTTCATCTCCGGAGGTTTCCCCGATCCGACCCGCATTCCGACCAGCGCTGGCGGCGGCGCGCACAGGGATCAGGCAGCGAGAGGTACGCCACACCCCACCTTCCATTTCCCCACGCGATGCCACCGGGCGTTTGCGGTACCGCAGATCCACTAACGAGAGGGATTCGTCGTAGGAGCCGACAAGAAGATACGGCGTCGTCCCGGTAAGCACCTCAAAAAAGTTTCCAAAAGAGTTCGTTTCATTCAGAAAACCAACTCCGCCGGGGGAGCTTTGGAGCACGGGGCTAATTGACACCACCCCGGCCTCAAACCGCATCTTTCCCACCACCGCGGACGTCATACCACATCGGAGATCGTAAAACTTTAAAAGCCCATCGTCGCCGCCGGAGAGCAACAACGAGCCCTCCCCAACCTCCCCAGATGGATTGATGGATGAGGAGGAAAGCGAGGGGGAAGTTCCCACCCCAGATGGCCATACCGCGCCGCACCAGGCGTCGAATTGATGCCCCTCGAAACTTCGCTCCACGCACCGCTCCGCCACGTTGTACACGACCACCTCGCCGCCATGTGCGGTGCACCACAGTCGAAGCTCCGAGGAGGATCCCGACGAGGAAACAAACGGCGTGCAACTCGTGAGCATCTCCGTATGAACGGAAGGGAACGTTTCTATCACGCTATGCGTGTGTGGATGCAGAAGACGCACGGCGCCATCCGTGCAGGCCGTCAGGAGCATCCACGACGCCTCGTCCTCGCAGGGGTTTCGGAGGGAGGGCGCAATTGCCGTTCGCGCGATCCACGTCTGATCGAATACACCAAACGGAAGGGAAGAGCCCACAGCCGGCTCCATGGTATCACGCGTAACATCCCTAGTTTCTCCCTGAAGGGTGTTTGCATGAATCACAAGATGACTGGACGCACCGCGGTACGTCAAACCCGGATTCCTCTGAGTGGAACCAGCCTGGGGGGACTTTTCCTCCTCCCCAGATGAGGGTGCTTCGGCATCTTTTCTGTTATTTTCCGCATGGCCCACTTCTTCTGTCTCTGCCGTTTTCGCGTTGAGCTCATAGCAAGCGTATTCTAATATATAATCCTTTGATATTCTGGAGGAAAAAGACGCGCTCGCGAGCAGGCAATTGCAGGGCCGTGGTGTGGGGATAGCTGCGATATGTTCTAGGCAGAGCGCCATTACTGCACTACCGTATATACTATTATTATCCCTTTGCCACTACTAGACGAAATTAGGCAAAAACAACAAACATTCATCCACATGAAAGAAAGATAGGGAACGAAGTACGCATTTAAAAGTGAGAGTATCGCTAAGTATTTTTGCCCTCTCTAAAACACATTTGCTTGGCTCTCACGGACATATTGCTTCCTTTCAACACCACCTAATTTTCAGAACACTCTGAGGCAACGGATCCAAACAGGAAATTACTTGGGGATCTACCGCTGTTCCCCTTAAAATGTGTCTACCCATGTAGAAAAAAGAACCTTTTGGAAACATCACTACCGCCACCAACAAGAATAATATCATGAATTTTTTGAACGTTGGTGAGACCTGTTGCGGACCCCCTCGACAATTATGATAAATAAAATAAGTAAATCGATTGACTTTAATCACCTCATTTAAAAAAAATGCTTTTTGAAGTAGAAACAAAGTATATTCTTGCCGCACACAGACTTTTTGATTACCGAAAATATTTTTTTCCCCCAAAGACAAAAAAAACATGAATATTTACTCTAGTATACTTGTGTGTGACTAGTCAAGAAACCGAGATGTTTTTTTTGTAATGTGAGGGAAATGCAAGTATTGATAAGCAATTTTGAAATTGCTCTTTGGATGTTCACCAGCTCTCACGTATAACAGCTATGGTATTACCACTGAAGAAGGGATTGTATGTGGATACGGAGAATGGGCTATGTGATAGCACACCTGCAGTTAATATGCGAATTTCTAACAGTCGTCATTCAGCATTTTTTCTCTTGTCGCACCACTGTATCTCTGTTTTCTTTTTATTATATTTTACCTTCTACGTCTTACTGTATGCATATGGTGTAGGAGAAAAAAGGAGGACAATATTAAAATAATGAGTTCACTATTCTTTTGATGTAAAAACTCATCTCATTGCCAAAGAGTGGCTGCAAAAAGGGAGATAAACTCCACATGTATATTTAGATTTCACATTGCTACGAAATATAGGACATTCTGTACATGAAAAATGCTAAATTCCCTTTTTATTTTGTACTAGCAAGTGAATATAGCAACTTATTAAATCACTTCAATCAGAAAAAACGCTGAACCACTCAGTAGATTTTTTTGATATATACAGTTTATGTGATAATGTATGACGAGGAAACTGCATTTCAACACACATCTTTTCTATGCACATCGCGTAATGCGGATATTTACATTAAGGAAGCGATTTCTCCCTCCCTCCAATTGACATCAACCGAAATAGAGAAATCCATTTACTCGGATGCACCAGGTGGGGGATCGGAGAGAACGCCCTCCCATCCGCCCTTCCATGTTCGTGAGAGGGGCTATTTCTTGCCATTCTTGCGGCGAAACTCCTCGAGGAGCTTCTGCTGATACGCGGCGGCGGCTTCGCTGGAGAAGGCGTACGGGATTCCCCCGCTCCCGGTCGTCCGGGCAGGCACTTCCCCGTTGAGGATCATCGACCCCTGCTTCGAGCTCGCAGCCGTCATCGGCGGGGTCGTCCGCGCGCTCTCCGAGAGGGTGTCATCCCCGGACGACACCCGTCCCACCCGACGCCGACGATACGCTTCCAGTTGTTTACTTCGGTACTCCTCCGGGGTGACGATCGCCCCCGATCCCGTCGTCGTCATCGCCGTTGTCGTTGCTGACGTCGTCGTGGTCGAACGGGGAGCGGTGGAGGAAGGAAGAGGCGGAGGAGGGCGTCGTGCGGGGTTCGCGCGAGGAGGTGGATCCACCATCGCCTCCGCCCTTTCTTTCTCTCTCTCTCTCTCTCTTTCTCTCTCTTTTTCTCTTTCGTTTTCTCCATCCCCTCGTGCGTATCCGCCAAATCCAGAGGGTTTCCCGGCCCCTCCACGATTCCCTCGCACCCGCTCGAGCACCCCCGACCTCGCCCGTTCCTGGGATTCCCGCAGCGAGTTCGCCAGGTTGACGTTCCCTGGCTCCATGCAGAGCGCCATCTGGTAGGCCTCCGCCGCCTGGTGGTACTGGCGGAGTTTAAAGCACGCATCGCCCTGGCGGGAGTAGGGTTTGAACCAATCCGGGCAAAGCGCCACGGCCTGCTCGGCATCACAAAGCGCGGTTTGATAGGCGGCCTCGGGGGATTCGGAGACGCTAGGATCCCGCGCCGCCTGCATGTACGCCGCGGAGCGATTGCTATAAAGGGTGGCAAGAAGCATGTTGGATCCTCCGTTGGATAAGGCGGGGCTCCGCCCTCCTCCGCCTCCACCTCCGAGGGAGGCGCTCAGGCTGAGCAAGGAGCCATTCACCGCGGCCTCGCCATGGCATTTGATCGCCTTGGTGTACAGACGAATCGCCTCGGCGAACTTCCCATTCTCAAAGGCGTGATTCCCGGCCGTTTTCAATTCCTCAACCTCATTCTTGATGTGGGTGGTATTCATCGTCATGGCGGCAAAGGCGGTGCCCGCGGCCGCATCCGCGCGAACTGGGGGGTTCTTCGAATACGTCGACGAACCCGTACCACAGGTGCCGGCACCTTTGTAATTCGTGGCATAAGAAGCATCACCTGGACAGGACAAATGCGTCTTCGGCTTTTGGATTTTGTCCTTGCTAGCGGTGAGGTCATCAGGGTGTAGAATATCATCATTGGTGATACCCATCTCCCGAAGGAAGGCCTCTCGATTAGCACTTGACCTCATCTATCTCACAAGTTGCTCCGCAAATCTTACAGTACAATAAAAATATACGCTTTTTGGGGACTTTGCTACTACCCTGAAGAAGAGTATGGGGAAAGCTGGGATTAACAATAACTCCTATCTATTCTTCACCATCAACATCAGTCCAACCTTTTCAGAGCTCTATGAATTAATTGTGGGGAATAATTTCATCTCGAACACTCAATCACTTTCGGTAACAAAGTTAAAAGTTCAGGGCTTTGAGAGCCCCGTAGACTCCCCCCATGCAGGTGTGTTTGTGTGTGTTCTCGTATTCATTACCTACTCAGACCGCATCATGGAGAGGAAAATCTTAATATTGCTAATAAAGCAGCACTGAATAAAGAATTATATCTGCATTCTCAAGGATTTATTCATAACACAAACCGTGATAAAGGAAGGAAAAAAGGATAGTTACTGATCAGAAGTGATTTTAGCCCTATTAATTGAACAAGCCAATCGGAAGTAATTATCTCCACAAAATTAACGAAACAGAAAGCTTGAAGGAGCGCATAAACAGTTTATGCCGCATGTATCAACCTCTATAGAACATGCATACGTATATATCGTTATCTAGGAAAATGAAATAAGTATGACAGCGTCCTCATTGAAGGTGTAGCGATAATGCACCTCTCTGCCTTTCCCTTTGCCTCTTAACAAGAGTCAGGGGACAACTAAGAGGGAAAAAATGACACCAAGTGTATATCTCAGCAAGGAAACAGGGTCCTAAACAATACCTTTTTTAAAAAATGCATGAGTGGATAAACCCCCTTTTCAGACCAGTATGGTATGAATGCAAGCCATGAGAGGGAAGTAAAGCATACAAATACAAGAAGAAATCTCAATTTACGGATGGCTTCGGGCATGGCAGAGCATCCAATGTTTCCACATATTGAGAAAATATTCCGATCAGATCATCTTTATAGAATAATTGTAACTCCTTTGGCTTGAACTCAAGCCAGATCATCATCACTGGGTGACTTAACACGGCGTTTGTGAGAAACACACAATATCCTTCAATGAGTCGCGAGTTCCGGAGCAATATGGCGTAGAAAACAAGTTCATCAACAAGCCAAGTCATGTCTACCAACAAGCCATGCAACTGACGCCACGCAAAGCGAGGTAGACCTGAATGGTGCTCCTTTGCGCGAAGCGGTGGACGCGTGTTCGGCGGAACCAACTCTTTCAGGCCGTGGTGAGCGATGCTAGTATCCAGTATAGTTTCGGTCACTTCGGTAGGGGACCTCTTGAGGTGCGTGGTGTTGCAACCAGTTCGAAACGCATTATGGCCTAAATTGAAAAGACTCGGGAACGGGAGATCGGGCGAGAGCATCACAGTGTTATCTGAGGCTTGGCTTTGCTCACTGTTGTTATAGCCAATCAAATCTGGTGTCGAAGAGAAAGGGGGTCCAGGCACGCCAGCGGCGGCGTTGCTATCTACAGAAGTCATCCTATTCCGAATAGGTTGTAATTTTTTGCTATCAATATCCTCCGTGGATGTCTGTCGTGGCAGTACTTGCGCTAATGCGTGGAAGGTTTCCGTTGAGTCAGGTCGATATAACTCCTCTGCTTCATCTAGTTGACCAAAGAACGTGGTTCCGATTTCCTCTTCGTCTGACTCACTATCGTAAATTAATTGGAGCATGTCGATCGGATCACCTTCCTTATCAGCAGCGTATCTAGCCGTTTCGACACCATCCTTGAGAGCTTCATAATATGCAAAAATGCTTTGCAACCGTTCTGAGTAGCGCGAGAGGGTTTCGTTGAACCGTTGTACGAAGCGCATGATGAAGTGCTCACCGATGTGTTGTCTACCCACTTTGATAGGCTTTAATACCGCATAGAGAGGGGAATAGGAAGGGAAAAACGCGTTAGGTGAGTGGTGAGGCAGCACCATCGCCACTTTATCGCTGCTTTCCGTTGTGTGGTCGGATAGCGGAATCTGACGCAGCTCGATGCGCACACGTTCATTTGGGTTACCTCGATTTAGAATAAACGCGTGTTCACAAAGTGTTACCTGCTCACACTCACCCTTATCGATGCTCAGCAGTGTTGCGGCACGTTTGTGATCCAACATGACGATAAAATAGCCACTCGAGTTTTCAGGGATGTTCAACTCCGCAAAGGACATCACTGTCGAGTGACGACTATCCGAATCCCTCACAATTCCTCCACTCGTCCTTGCAAGCGTTGTGCTAGCCGTGAGCATAGCTTTTACCGCGGCATCGTCTTTGGTCTGCGAACCGGTCCCCGTGACGACATACAGTATCGGGGATTGTGAACGAAAGCAAAACCCTTGCGGCACGTTTTTCAGGTTGTCAACATTCACAACCACACGACTGATATCATCCCCTAAGGGGACATCGAAGACGCGATCGACGTGGAAGGTCGGTTGGTAGAGCTCAAACGTGACCCGAAACACAAAGCGTGTGTCGCGTACCTGCTTGCACTGGAGGATGACATCCGCCTCCCCATGGACGCGGTAGCCGTCCGGGATGTACAGCTCCGCACAGCTCAGTACAAACGCGATGCGTGCGTGTGAGTTGGGATCGACCACGATGTAGCGCTGGCTGTTCATGACGGGAACATCGTAGATCCGACATGCGATGACCTTACCTTTGAAGACCGGACCCCGTGAGGTGGCACCGACAGGCAGATTGTGCGCCATCGAACCAAAGGGAAGCGTGGATTCCGATCCGGAGGCCACCTTTGTCAGCTCTCGCTGGGGCTCGAAGTCGAGCAAGTCTGGCTTCTGAGGATCCTCGTGAGATTCGTTCCATGCTTCCTGTGAATGTTTCTTCCAGGCAAAGAGAACGTCCTTGGTGTTGGGGAGGTCACCCATGGGCCGCAACTCCAGGCGAAGCGGCTTGAGTACGGAGATGGGGAACTCCAGCGCCACATCCCCCCTGTTGTGGATTTGTATCCCGATATTGGCGCGCATCGTCCCTGAGCCGTAGATGTGCCCCAACGACACATTGTGAAGGTCACCTGTTGCCACAGATTGACCATCGGAGGCAAGAACGTCGAAGATATCCTTGACAAGGGTTGTGGCAAAAATATCCGCGGATAATTTCAGGTACAACACCTCAAGTGGATTTACGTTGTTGTAGATGGTCAGGTATGCAGTAAAAGATCCCACTTTTGACGACAAAATTGCGAACCGTATGAGATGGCTCTCACCGGCATCAAGTGTTCCGCTCTTTGCAAGTAGCAGGAGCCACGGAATCGGGGTCTGTGACACGATTGACACCGTATATTTTACTTCATGCTTGATTGTGTTATTGCACACCAAAATTTCACTGCTTAGGTTTCCTTCCTTGGGAATCGTGAAGGAGCACATATAACCTCCAACAATGCCAGGCACAGGAGTGCAATTTTTTAGAGATAGCACCTGAGACGATGACGACCCAACGGAAAAAACACCCTGTGCCGACTTTTGTGGAAAAAGTACTTGTGCTCTGCGATTAGGTTCACCAACAGATCCTGTTGGAGCGTTTCTCTTGGTTGTCGGAGAATCCGGTAACCCGCCGTTACCAGCTGAGGATGGATTGGGCGTAACCCCCATGACAGTCGCATCCTTAGTGTTCAGCAGTGAGTTTTTGGTTTCTGTCAAGCCACTGGCACTAAGGATCCCTTTGGAAGTGTTGTGCATTCTGCTGCGTAATAGGTCTGCTGTGCATATTTTGACTCCTGTATCAGGCGATATAGAAAGAGCCAACGGTGCTTGATCGGCGACATCCTCTTCGTCATACGGAGCCACGCTTACGTGACTTATATTTACACTGCAAGGAACATTTTCATCCAATACAGCAAAGACTACATACTGCTCAAGAGACAGTTGGCTCAGAGTCGTATTGGTATCTGTTTTTGAATACAAAGATGAACTGTATAGTGCAATATCGAGCACAACCGTTTCATCTGGTACAATAACGAAGTGGTGACCAGTGTGAGACCCATTTGTATTAACACCACCACTGTTATCCAGGGCAGCGTTGCTCCCCTTTATATTATTGTAGAATACTGTCACCTTTTCGTTGGGGACACCTTCGCTTGGGTTCTCAGCAGTCGCTTCACTTCTTTCTTCATTAGGCATGCAAGCTTTACTGTCTCCAGAGACCTCCACAGTGATCGGAGTGGAGAGATGTTCACTAATGAGCACATGCAAGCACAATTGCAATGTACACCCTTTGCAGCTGTTGGTTATGCATAGCTTACCTGTATATCCCCAATGAACCTTCGCGGTCTGCTCTGATTTTGCCAGAGATACAAGGGATGGGGGTAGGACTATCCGCAAAGGCTGAAGTTCTACCCTATGAGGGGCTGAAAAGGTACTGAAAGGAACAATTTGACCATATACTTGATACTCTTCATCATCTGTGAATTGGTTTGCAAACGTTAAATTGCCTATCCATATATTATTCGACGGCGCCGTGCGTCGTGCCATGAGATCGGGTACCTTATCAAAACCCAATGCTGCTTCCTGTTGTTTTTTGCGTATACTCCAGAAAAATAGAGATGCTAGTGCGGCCAAATCGTTGCTTTCCATGAAGCAGCGTAAGCGAAGTGTGAGCGTTCGTGGTGATGAGGAAGGGTCTCTTCGGCGTCCATTGTTTATCGGAGTTGTTGTTGCGTTTGAGGCTGAAGTTGTTGTACCATACACGGTACCTCTATCTCTTGTTGAATCCATACCAGATGCTGTGCTGCTGCTATGGGTGTTCGTCCCAATCTGTTTGTTTTTATTATTGTCATTTGTATTCATGATAGACCCTGATGCCGTAGAGTTGTTGGCTGCATCAAAGCTGCCGCTGATGGTCGCTGGGGAAGCGGCATTCTGGGCGGGAAATACGATGCTGTCGCTTGCGGGAGTGGCGTCATAGTGGAAAATTTGAACAGCTAGAATCCCCTCGACTTTGGGATTATACTTCATCGACCAGTAAAGCTTCACCTCCTCCTCAACAAAAACACTTACAGCAAATTTCTCCTCAGAAAGAAGGACGGGCGCTGTTGAGGAGGGATGTAAAATGAGTGGTGAAAGAGACAGCGTCTCCCGCGCATCTTCATTGCCACGGTATTTAAGTTGGAATATCTTCCAATAGTATTCTCCAGTTATGGCTACGGAAATATCATTCTCGTTGTTAAAATCGTTGACAAAAAATGTCTGATACCGAAACGGCCCCTGCGTAGTGATTTGCTCAAGCTGCAGGTTCCCACTGACCTCCAGCGTTTGTTCTGGTGGAATGGTTAGTCGTTTCTCAGGAAAGTAAAGAACAGGAGGACACTCGATCCGCAGAATCAAGGGCAGGTAGGGTGACAGGTTTCGAAGTAAAACGCGAACCTCCGTTGATGAATCCTCACCCTCATTATTGTTACTATTAGCGTTATCTGCTTTAAAGCGACTGTTTCTGGGGCGTCGATATCTAGAACAATATTCGCTGTCTTCAGCATACTTTTTCGTTAGGCCTATTATCCCCAAGTCAGTTTTTAGGGGTTCGGCGCACCCCTCACTTACGGTCAGCGGCACTGTAAAAGTAAGAAGCATCAAGCACTGTCCTAAAGATGGTAGATGGCGTCGAGGCGGGAAGGTACGCCGCATGACATTCTTTTCATTAAGAATTTGAGCTACCTCGACCTGTGCCGTCGCGTTTATAGTTACCATGCGGTGCTCCATGAGGGTTTTGATTTGCTCTTGGGATAGTTGCGGAACACCCGTCAAGGTACAAGTGACGCTTTGCGTCCGTTGTGATTTCAAGCGTGCGCAGCCGTTCGGGGACTGCACAGCAGAGATCACTTCTTCTCCATCTTGCATATCATTTGAAAAATACAGCGGTAACTCGGTGCTTTTCAGCGCCAAGATGAAATCCTTTGGGTACATATTCTGCATGCACATCTTAATAGAGACCTTTTCATGCAAGTGATAGCTGCCATTTGTCCCTGGTTCAACAACTGTAATCGGGAAGTAATATATTCTATCTAAAGCAGAGTAAATAGGAAATATGAACGGGTCCTGACGAAGACCAGAAACTAAAACGTGAATTGGCTCCTGAATACAGCTGAGGTTTTGGATGATGATTTCTTCCTGTATCCACCCCGGTGCCTTCGACTGAAGCATTACAGGGATCTCCTTTTCCTCCTTCGGCATTAATGCAATCTCACGATTATTGCCACCATCAATCGCTAAATTGGCTGACAAGGTGGATACGTTTGCTCGAATGATGAATGTGCTTGAAATATTTGAGACTTTCATGATTGCCGTCGGGGGTTCCTTTGTGTCTTCAATGATGCCTATCTCGATGTGTGATTTAGGAACGCAAATGATACCACTGCCGACACGCACACTCAGGCGTACGACCGACCGACCTACAGTACAATAGTTACCCTCACGATTCAAGGTAATGGCTTCTACAATGACTCCTGCACTGACGACTCTGGAAGTGCCTTGAGTGGACCTGAAGCTAGGCACAAATTTTACGTACACTCGAACAGTTTCTTTCAAAAACGTCCGTTCAATAGGAGTTTCCAAAGGTATAGTACACTCGGAATTCTCAAAAAACAACACCTGGGATGGCTTATTAGAACGTATGAGAAGAGCGTGCGTATATGGGAAACGGCTTTTGATGAGTAAGAGCTGAGATTCCAATTGGTTGAATCTGCAGGGCGTGATGATGTCACGAAACGTTAGATTCTTCGGTTCCGCTATAATATGTTCCTCTTCTTCTGTTGGATTTATTTCAACCACAACATAGAGTATATCCGAAGAATTTTGTAAATTTTTTATTGGAATGATATATTTCTGCGGGCCTACACCCCTAGCAGTACACTCCACCATGATGCGGAGGGCTTCGTCTGAATTGACAGCTCCATTTCTTGGGAAAAATTTAAATCGAGCCTCCAGGGTTTGTGTCACAGGGCCACCGCATACTCGTGGTTCCAAAACAACGACGGTTGTGAATTTTGTAGACTTCACGAGAAGGGTAAATTCTGTATTGTCATTCACAATGCAATTATGAAGGACAATCAGTGGATATTCCATAAATGTGGATAACGTGCAAACGGTTTTACACACCTCCAGAAAAACCTTTGGCAGTTCAAGAGTAGGCAAGGTGGATCTATTCACTAGCAGAGGAGTATCGGATGAAGCTATATGGAGAAATTCATCTGCTTCTGGCCGCATAAGAGTGATATCGATTGGCACAATGCGATTCACCTCTTTATCTCTGGCCTCAAAAAGAAACAAGTGCAACGTTGTTGTCTGAGAGGACGGTAATAATTCATCTGGAAGCCGTGAAAATGATAAACTGAATGTGATGTTCACAGATTCCCCCGCGTTCATTAATGGGAGTGCTACACCTTCCCCAAGAAGTTCCATGAGCAGCTCGGCAGTCGTATGAGGCTTACTTTTTGGATAAAAAGCCTCATCATCGCTTTCAGAAAAGTCATTGTCATGACCAGGCGAGGCTATGGTCAGTGCATTTGGATCAACTTCCCCACCTAATAGTGCCTTTTTCAATGATTCGATTGTCTTCAAAGTAACCTTATATTTTTCGTCTTTTCTTTTCCGTTGGTATATCTTGAGTTTTTGCTCCATCTTTTCAATTTTCTCCTCAATCTTTCTTGTGGAGGCCGAGTGCTGTGTACCCAATTCCGTGTCTAGTTGAACCTTCACATTTGCTCCCTTGAATCCCAGGTAGCTATGTAAGCAGTCATTCTTAAGAAAATCGTCAAAGCGAACACTGCTGTCTGTTCCTAGACGAACTTTGATTTGCCTTGATGCCTTGCTAGTATTGTAAACTGTGAGCCTCATTCCCACACGGACGGATCCCGCCGTGTCTCCAACAGTTGGGAGTAGGACATTTCCGAAGTTCCATGAGTCTGGACTCACTTCGAATGTGTCTGCCTTAATAACAGTTGCTTTCAGTTCAACGTTGACAAAGTTTTTTGGATCAAAAATGTTTTCGAGACTGATTTTCTCATCGAACACACCTTTGATTCCAGGGTTAAAGCTCACCTCAATTTTTCGTATTGCAAAGGGCCTCACTGAGATAAAAAGTGATTCTCTTTCACTGTTCTCAATCCTGATATGTCCTGCAGTGACAGAATGAGATTTAGTTGCCTTTATGTACAATACAGACTTACAACGATTCACTATGGTGATCATTGTTGACCTTTTAGTGCCGATGCTAACTTCACCAAAGTTTTTCGTTTTCTGTCCACTAAGCTCAAATGAGGTGCTACATAGCCTATAAGATAGTCTCACGAAACGTGGTGTTTCTATTCCATTGACAGTTATCGTAAGACCGTCCTCCTTTGACATCGGTTCTCGACAGAATGCAGTCCGATTGATAAGAGCAAAAACTGTAACACTTTTATTGGAGTCAAGCGTTATTTCCTTTATTACTATCGCATTCGATAAAATAGAAAGTAATTGATCCATCACCTCATCAACCCGCTTTGGTGGCGGTCGGCTCGACCTTTTCACATAATCGGATTCACTAAACACGTAAAATGTTTGTAGCTCAGATGCCAGGCTTACTAAAAGAGCTGTACTTAAGGGATCGGTTAAGTGGAAAATCTCGATTTCGGGGCTTGTACTCGATATTGCCAGTTTCAAAGAGTAGTTTACCTTTGAGGTTGCGAGGTAAGGCACTAAGAAAGGGACATCTGTGATTGCACACAAGTCAGAGTCTTCTTGATCAATCGTATCACACTTTAATGGGTGACATTCCCACGAGTATAACTCATTATGCAGCTTAGCTTCCAGGGGAGGCATATTGTTGGCCTCTATATTAAGAATTTGCTTCTCTGCAACAGCATTACAAACATTTACTATCGTCAATTGCTTGCGATACGTTGGATTAACGCGCCGTGGGGTGATTCGTAGGGTGATTGGGAGCCTGCTTTGAGGACCTATATGAAGCTTTTCACACATCTCTTGATTTTTTGAGGATTCACTTTGAGATGCCCCTTCAATACAAATGACTTTACTTCGTATTTGTATGGCCACACTTCCAGGTAATGGTGTTTTATTAATGATATGGAAAACGTACCGTTTGCTTTGCCCTACAACACAATCACCAAGATCGATATCCGTGGGTGTGACTTCTATAGTGCTAGTAAACAAAACAGCACTGCAACGCACAATAACCTTCTGGCTTCGATATGTTACTGTTGAGCGAACCAAAAAATTGATCCCAAACTTAACAGGAGTTGCTTCCTTGTGTTCTTCATCAAAATCAGGAATGTATTGCACATTCATGTAAACCATGCCCTTTTGAACTGGCACTATAACTTCATCTGTTGGTGTGTTGTTCTTAAGCAAAGCCACATATCCATGGCATTTTTCTTGATCAACCGGTGCCAACGATACAGCAATATCAGTTCGACCATCAATATTAAGAAAGCCAATCTCAGCAGACGTCTTAATACCCCGATAAATGTCACCAAAATTGAGAGACGTGCTTGATAGACTAACAATATCGCCTTGAGGCTCCCCGGAAACATTTATATTTACGTAAACAAATGCTGTATTATAGAGGTTAAACAGGTTATCACATTGTAAAATTGCTCTATGAGACTGGTTAGGAACACAATCTGACGCAGTCCTTGCCACTAACGATAACTCCATGGATGAATTGGCCTGAAGTAGAAGACGGTGATTGAGTTTCGGTTCTTCCATTTGCCCTGTTTTGTAAATTTCCAAATCAATCCCCTTCACTCGCATGCATTGATTCCTGATTATAAAGGAGAGTGGACACGTTGAGATATTAGTAACAGAAAAGCTCGTATGCTCCATCTTATTAGGTGCCATTGTTAAATGAAATTCCGACTGTGATATTTCCAACAAAGAGAGGTAAACATTGGCTGAGAAGGGTATGGAAACGGATTCTGACAACACTGTTTCCTCTGTAAGCGATTGTTTCAAAGGTGCCGTTGAAGTGTCATAGTCATCTTTCTGTGTCTGGGAACGAATTGTTTTGTCGGAGGCAAGATTTCCCCCAGATGCAACATTTAAGTAGATCGTCCCATTATACAACGAGAGTGGTGAGTGTGCTGAGATATGCGAAAATGCATTGTGTTCAGGTTTGAACAAAACGATGATCTCTCTTTCCTCGAGCTCCTCAAGACAAAATCTGTCTACCAGATTTATGAGGTCAAATGCCTCATTATAAGAGAAAGAATCAGAATCTGTTTCCTTTGAATTGAAATTCTCATTACTAAACTGGAATTTGATCATTGGGGTGCCAGATGACAAGTGCACCAATACAGGTGAATCCTTCAGATTCGCGATTCTCAGCTGCCTGTAGGAGGGTATGTTGTGGATCGCTACCTCACCAAAGCTGAGCTCATCTGTACTAATTTTTAGCATCCTCGAAGTGTATAGTACTACTAAAGAAAACGAAATGTAGTGAAAAGAAATTTAAAGAAAAAAGAGTATCATCCGCAACTAAATACTATTTGAGGTCTGGCTCACAAACCCTAAATAAAGTCCGACATCACACGCCCGGGACGTCCCAGTGATCATCATCTTAAGTCCAAAATTTTTTTAACACTTGTTGGCGTTGGCAACAGGCCACCACCAACACATCTCTGTGAGATCCTGGGAAACAAACTCCCCCCTAGGCCAAAGATGTGGGAGTTTCATTTGTTTGCCGTACAGTGCAATAAAGTTCCTCTTTTTTGATAGGTACTGGGGGTATCCCCGCCCACATTTTCCCCCTCCATTTGTGAAGGGGACATGTGTGTGTAGAGGGAGGTTCTTTGCTATTAGGTGTCACGTTCTTGGGGACTGCGTGTGGTGCAGTGTTGTGCAAAGATAGCTGTCTTCTTATAGAGGTCGGAGTTTGCGGAAGGGGTGTGGTGTTAGGTGCCATAGGGTGTCGGCTGTGGAAATAACGACCATAGGATACCCCCCTATTCCCTTCGCGATGGTGATCGCGCCGCAGCCTAGACAGTAGGGGGAAGGGGATGCACGCTCTTATCGTTGTTGTTTAGAGATTTTAGGTAACATGGAGAGGTGTTACTATCAAGAGGATAAAATGCCATTTAGTTGATTATTTCATCCTTTTTCCGGCGCCACTTTATACTCCTTATATTTTAGTTTGTGAAATACTGGTTTCGCATTTGGTTTTCTTATTGTAGCTTCTAAAGTGATAGAAATTTTATAGTAGTACATGCTGTAATATGTAAGTGTTGCCCTGATAGCACGAACTTTTCTGTAGGTGAGCGCATTGTTTTTTTTTCCGTCCTCCAGGAAAGAAAAGGGTCGCTTGTTGTTGTATATGTTAGGGTAAGCTTCATAACCGTATGACTCGATGTTTTCTGAACATGGTGACGTAATCCAACAAATATTTCAAAATTTACTAAGGTCAATAGATGCCCAGTTTTTTTTTTTGAGCCTGAGGTTCGCTATTAATTTACTTATTTACCATATACCTCTGTAATCCTTGTAATTCATTAAATACCCATGTATATAGTATTTGTTATTTGAGCTTTAAAACAACACCAACAGGTATTTACATTTAAGTAGAACTCTTCGAACAAAGTCAAGAAACAAGAAATGAAATTAACTACATCGATTTCAGATGGAGTTGCTTTTCCCAAAAGTTTTTCAAATGCCTATTTCTAAATTCGAATTCAAGATTTCCATCGTTATCGTCGTTTAATTCAAAAGAACGATGTTTAAACGCAATATATCATTTCTTTAATGGCGAAGAACATAATATGAAAACAATTACATATTGCTCGCCAAATAGGCTGACATTGACACTTTCTAAATCCTTCAACTATAATACTAGCATGGGGTGTTAATGCGACATTTTAAATAAATTCAATTTGAAAGGGGCGATATAATTACGCAGTATATATGCTTGATCCTTCGTTATTTTTGGCGTTGTCTATACGGATAAGGTAAGCGCCTTTGAACGCTAGTAATTCTAATTGAAGCGTTTGCATCTGTTTAGCTTAAAGCAGCTTATTTTTTTATTATTGATATTATTGCATCTTGAAATAGTTTCTATATACAATAGTGTTTTTTCATGTTTATTTGATTATCTGTTCACTTCTGTACTAATGGGAATTCAATGTGATACCATTCAACTGTCAAAAAGGTTTTTTTCCCCTTACGAGGCTTTCTTCTCGCATAAATCTAAAAGTTAATAAATTTCATGGAGAAAGATAACATTTACACACAGAGTATTGAGCGCGCAGGCCCTACTTACCACACGGAACCCAAAGAAAGCCCGAATTGGGACGACCCAGGGGACACAAATAAACCTGTTAGTAGGTCACAGAGGTCGGTAAATTCGGTAAACACTTTATCTAGTGGCCTAGTCATTAATGAGCGCGGAAAGATAGGAGATGGAATAAAAAGTCCAGCAGAAGATTTCAAGAAACTTCAACCATCGAGGTTTAACTCTCAAGACAAAATTACCATAAACCATACCAACTTGTCATCTGATCCCCTTGATACAAAGGGAAAGAATAATAATACCAAGCATAATTCCAGTCTAATAGAATGTCAACGTGAAGGTCGAGAGTTTCATAGAGCCAGTATGTCACCGTCTATGGAAAACCAACTGATTGAGAAGAGAAGTGCTAGCAACAACGCATCACTTGGTGTAGGGAATTTTCAGCAAGTTCAGCTAATCTATAAACAATACGGAAAAGAATCACCCGATTTATCCAAGCGTTCAATGGCAAAGGTAAGTTTTAGAAATATAAAGAAAGATTCAATCAGCCAGAAAACCTCCGAGCAGGGCCAATATACGCTCTCAAATGAAGAGCAAGGAGTTACTACAGATTTACAACGAGCACAACCGACCTACTCTAATAGTTTGACCAATTTGACTGCCTCCAGGGATCAAAACCCGTTAAGTAATGGCATAGGGTTGACTCCATGTCTTGATAATAATAGCTTTACTACACCACTGGGACGGGATAGTAGTATTTTTCAGTGCGATTCATTTTGTTCTAACATTATTCAATGTGAGACACAGCACTCTAATGGAGGCCTCAACCATTATTCGAAAGTAATTAATGTGAAGCCTTCAACTCAGACCGAATTATTGATCGGCTCAATGGATCAAAAAAATCAAAACGATCAGGGTGTAGGGACGCAACCACAAAATTGGTTACAGAATCCCATACTTTTTTATTTGTTTGAAAACTTGATCAAATTGCACGAGCTTCGAACTAAATTAAAACCCGAGGGATTAAATGAAGCTTCTTCAGCGCTAAGAGTGGGAGGTCCTAGTTCTACAGCACTGGGTTCTTCTGTCAATTATGAGCGCCAGGCTCAGATGGAAACCCTAAAAAGATATATTACGTATTCTGTTTCCGAAATTGACGCGACCCTTCTTAATCCTCTGTTCACTTTGTGGTCCGAAAAACCTTTGCGTGACTTGCTAAAACGCGTTACTGCTAGTTGGAAAGGAGGCGGTCTTGACAGTAAAGATTTTGACGAGGCTTCATTTTTATTACTACAGGCGATTTCAGAGGAGAGAAGCGGAACCATCCGTTACACTTTACTATATCGGTTGCGTGAGTACTTTGGGAGCGCTAAGCATCATTCTACTGGACTTTGCCTGTTATCTGTGATGAGCTTCATTTCATTGCTTTGCGTAATTCTCCTTGCACTTTTTGCAGACTTACACTATGCTGTAAGAATTGTGTTGCCTATTTTGATGAGTATAAGTATCTTTTTGATATTTTGTTTTGTGTTTCTTATTTTAAATCATAATGCTTCTGCTGATGCCACAGCAGCATTCTTCAAAATGGAGATACTTTACTTGTCGAATGATAATGTTAGCGAGGAACTTGAGGATAGTTTTTTAAGTTCTAGCAGATCGAGCCTGTGCTTGGTTACTCCAAGCAATGAGTGTACCCCATCACCCTATAAACTAAACGTAATTGATGATAATGTGAGACCGAAAAAAGACTTGCCTATTAAGTCAGTCGTAGTGGGGAACGACGAAGCAAATTCTACGTCCATAGCCAGAAAGCTACCACATCGAATGCAAATGGAGCATCAGGAGCATCCAGAAAATTCTAAACAAAGTGGAGCACCAATGCGAAGCTATTCGTTTGAAAGACAGCGTCACGCCGAACATTCACAACAAGTTTTTCGTAGAATAGTAAAGACAAACACGTTTGCGAAAGAGCTGTTCACAGACAATGCGCAAGCTTCGGACACGAACGGGGTTCAAAATAATCAAAATTCCAATTTACAGGATGCAGAAGCTTCTTGCACTACAATCAACTCAACCTTTATTATAGATTTAGCCGATAATATCAGTGTCACCGCTCTAATTTATTGCAAAGATCAATATGCTTTGTCAATTATGATGCCCTCGCTCTGGGAGTTTAACTTCCTTGTGCTTGAAACTGAAGTTTCTCAAATCGACAACGTTTATCAGCAAGGTACGGATAAGTTTAAAATTATTATACTCCACGCTGCTGACTTACATGAAGGCACTATTGAGTTTGACATGGCCTTGTCGTGGGTAAAGGAGAATCTTCCCGTCTTTTTCTTTTCGAGGGATAACTCCAGATTTCCTGATTTTGTACCTGAATCAAAGAAGGTACAATTACCTTTGTCTGAAAAAGACATCACTACCCTTCTCCTTTTTGGCACTGGCAAGAATGAAGGGATGAACAGTGCCAGGATGGGATGCCCCTCTAATCTTATCAAGGTTCCAGCGTATGCTCTTGGCCGGAGGTTGGGTGGTGGTGCGTACGGAAATGTTTTCGAGGCGGAAATGGAGGAAACTGGAGTAATGTGTGCTGTCAAACGCATCTACTTAAGAAGTGGCAACAACAGCGATCAAGATGATAACAGCCACATCAGCCAGCTACGTGACATTGCTCGTGAAGTGGAGATCATGAGCTCGCTCACGCATCCAAACATAGTCCAGTACATGTTTTGTGAACGTGATGATAATTGCATATCAATTTTTATGGAGCTATGCTTAGGGGGATCCTTGAGCTCTTTGATAAATGGTGTCGAAATAGTTGACACAGACTTCATGAAGCAACTGTTACGCGATATTATAAGTGCTGTGGCATATCTACACAGAAAAAAAGTTGCGCATCGTGATTTGAAACCAGACAATGTTCTATTTTCTAATAGTCGTGCAAAACTCACCGATTTCGGCACGGCCATTCTCAAACGCAATCACGATAACCTTTCTCCTGTCACAGGAACGTTTGCTTATATGGCGCCAGAGATTATTTTATGTGAGACGTATGGTAAGGCATGTGATATGTGGTCAATTGGTTGCATTGCGGCTGAAGTTTTAAAAGTTGATCTCCCTCAGCGATCCCTTGGATTACCAGGGATGTGCGAGTTTTATCGCAAAATGGATTTTAATTCATCATTGTCTATTGATTGTGGGGTGCAAGAAGTGGATAACTTTCTGCGTTCTTGTCTGCAGCGCAACCCAAATGCCCGACCAACTGCTACGGAGCTTCTGCATCACGATTGCTTGAAGCATAATAATACTGCTTTTGATAGATGGATGAAACAAGCATTGTCGAAAAGGAATCAGGCACATCCACACGGTGCCTTAGTCATGGATTTGTTTGGGTCAAATGAATCCATTGTTGACTTGAATTCTCAGCTTAATGCGGTGTCTCTAAAATCTTTGGATGAGGCTCCAAATGTGTGAGATAGCATTTTTTTTACATGCTTTGTTTTATTTTTTGTGTAAATATATTAAGATGAAGCTTGTAAAACGGATTTCTTTATTTTTATAGTATATTACACATCATTGTAATTTTTGCTTTTGCTGCATTTCAAAGTATTTTCAATTTACTCAAGATCTTAAATAGATACTTAAACATATATCTATATATCTATATCTATACCTATGTCTATCTATCTATCTATCTATCTATCTATCTATATATATATATATATATATATATATATATTTGTGAAGAGTATGTGTACTGAGTCGAGCTACGTTTT